ACTAACAAGGAATTCTGATTAACGAATTAGTAAGTAATAGCGCACAGATGAAAGTGGTAGTTCACTATTAACTAATTGATAACTACTATTATTTTATGCTTCCCAGAGAACTACTGAAGAAGATTAATAGTTAATGCAAAACTAATCAATAACTATTCAGGACAAATGACTAGTACTACATTAACATTAATAACTGCTTCTGTAAACAAATACACAAGGTTTATCAATATGTAATAGCATAGCAGACTTATGATTTGGGAAATAATTAGCCTATGCTCTCTCCTAGAGACCTATTTATCAACTGAATAATTTTAAAGAAATGGCTTTTTAAATGCAGTTGTCGGGACCTTACTTGTCCTGTAGTGATTCAATGCCAGTCCAGAGGAATGCCAGAAAATTGGCCAGAGTCACGGTGACGGCTGGAACATATTGAGTAACATTATCGATTATCGATATTGAGAACATATCGGCCATCCAAATATCATATACAGTGATTTTATTATTTAACCTATACCTCGCAAAAAAAAAAAAAGAAGATTTTATTAATGTCTCCTACCTCATACGTGTGTGCAAATATCTTGTGAAGGATTAGACGATTCTACACTTTAGGATTGGCTTTTCATGTAATAATCATGATAACTAACTAGTAATGACTTAAGTGTTACTACATACTTCTAAAGGAATGACTAATTATTTGGATTCGTATTCTAAAGTGGAGATCATGGTAACTAACTAGTAATTACTCAAGTGTTACTACATAGTTCTAAAGGAATTACTAATTATTTGGATCTGTATTCTAAAGTGAAGATCATGGTAACTAACTAGTAATTACTCAAGTGTTACTACATACTTCTATGGGAATTACTATCTAAAACTTCACCAAAAACCTCAAAAGCTTAAAAGAATGAGTAATTCCTTTAGAAGTATGTAGTAACACTTGAGTAATTACTAGTTAGTTACCATGATCTTCACTTTAGAATACGGATCCAAATAATTAGTCATTCCTTTAGAAGTATGTAGTAACACTTGAGTCATTACTAGTTAGTTACCATGATTCTTACAGTAGTTCTCTGGGAAGAATAAAAAAAAAGTAGTTATTGATTAGTTAATAGTGAACTACCACTTTCATCTGTGCGCTGTTACTTATTAATTTGTTAATCAGAATTTCTTGTTAGTTAATAGTAGTTACTAGATTGTTAATATTGTGTTACTCATTTGTTCCTGTGTAGTTATTCATTAACGAAGGAACCGTATTCTAAAGTGTTACCTATGAGCTCTCACGGCTTCAGCCTCTACCTGGAGAATGGAGACTCCATCCCCAGTTGGTTCAGCTGATTTGGGATCAGTTCGGGGACACGCAGCTAGACCTGTTTGCCTCCCACGACTCGTCCCATTGTGACCTGTTTTACTCCCTGACCGAGGGCACTCTCGGCACGGACGCACTGGCGCACAGCTGGCCGCAGGGCCTACGCAAGTATGCGTTTTCCCCAGTGAGCCTTCTTGCACAGACCCTGTGCAAGATCAGGGAGGATGAGGAGCAGGTCATATTGGTTGCGCCTCATTGGCCCAGCCGAACCTGGTTCTCCGAACTTATACTCCTCGCGACAGCACTTCCCTGGCCAATCCAAGGAAGGACCTCCTTTCTCAGAGACGGGGCACCCTATGGTACCCTCGTCCCGATCTTTGGAACCTCCACGTGTGGCTCCTGGACGGGACAAGGTAGGTTTGAGTACTCTACCACCTCTTATTGCATTGGCCTCCAATAAGAGGGTAGGGGACCTGAGGGCATTTTCCGCTGACGAAGCATGCCTGAAATTCGGGCCGGCCTATTCTCACGTGATCCTGAGACCAATATTCCCTCTAAGCTGCGCGCGTGCGCGGCCGCGCACTTCTGAAGCGGCGGCCGCGCAGAAAAGAATAAAATGCCACGCAGAGGACTGACGCAAAATGTGTGGGGAAATCCATTTGATTGTAGTTTAAGTGAGAAATAATTTCAGTGCTCTGGTCAACCGCTATTGAGTGAAAACTGGTGAATGCAGTTTACAGGTTTCATAGAAAGAGAACGATGTGAGCGCGTGTGATTGGCAGTGAGTCGTGTGTTCGGACCAAATAGCTCAATATGAGAGGCAACGAGAAACGTGAAACGAGAAAAGACATGTGAAATAAAATCACATCATAATGTTTTAAAGAAGAGTGGTTTGATTAAAGTGGTGGAAATAACGGTTGATGGACACAGAACAGTAACAATTACACACCCACCTGCGTGCAAATTAAAAATACATCATTAGTTTAAATAGATGTTTTTGTGTGTGGGGGAGTTTCAGGGATGGTTAGATTATAAAAGAGTTCACATTCACTTTTCTTGAAAATATTTAGCTATTAGATCTATTTAAATGCTTCAGTTTGTTTTCATATTATAATAATATAATATGGAAACAAATTGAAGCATTTAAACTGATATATTATATCACTTCAAATACTTAAATTCGTTTTCTTATATTATATTATATTATATTAGGCCTATATTTTATTATATTATAAGCCTAAATAAAGAATCTCACAAGGGTATTGTTTAGGGCTCCTTGCCATTAAAAAGTTTGAAACCCCCTGCTAAAGAAAATATTGGAAATTCATAAGCAATAAACAATCATTTAACTTTGATGGTTTAATGCTTCCTGTACACAATGAATTGACTGTACAAAAACACTTTATGGTTTTCCCAAACCATCTCAGTGTAACAGCTTAATTTTCTTTCATACTATATTCTATTATTGTAAAGAATTGAATTGTCCTGCAGAAGATTTTGTAAATTATTTTTCATAGGATTTCTTGGTAAAGACTGTACAGTTAACAGCACTGTAAAAAAAAATCAGGTAACCTAAAATGTGCTTTCAGTGACTTCTTAATTAACTGCTTGTTTTTCGAAAATATGATTTAATACCAATAAGTTACATCAAGGGTCAAATAAAATAGAAATGGCACATTCAAGTTAAAAGTTACAACTGAATGTCGAAACCATTGTGTTTCTACGTATGCTGTACAGGTCAGGTATAAAGAATATTTTTGCTCAGGTGGCAAAAAATGTCCGCCCAATAGGAAAAAGTTTTGCTCAGCAAGAAAAAAAATTAGAGGGAACATTGCCTGAGACCCCGGCCTGGATATGTTCCCAAGGATCTCACCACTCCCTTTCGAGATCAGGTGGTGAACCTGTGAGCGCTGCCCCTGGAGGAGGCAGACCCAGCCTTGGCACTGCTCTGTCCAGTATGCACCCACAGTGCTTACAAAGACAGAACGCAGTGTTTCAGGACCTCAGACCAGCTCTTTGTCTGTTATTTTGGAAAGCTGATGGGAAAGCCTCTCTCCAAGCAAAGGTTGTCTCACTGGATAGTGGACGCCATTGCTTTGGGATGCCAGCAGCAAGGCCGACCGTGCCTCCTTGGTGTTAAGGCCCACTCCACCCGGAGTGTGGCTTCCTCTTGGGCTCTGCAGAGCTACAGGCTGGGCAACACCCAACACATTCGCGAGATTTTACAATCTCCAAGTGGAGCCAGTTTCCTCTCATGTACTCGCTTCAGCCAGCCGGTACTATAATCTGCTCAGGTGTCTTCGCTTGCTCGCCATTCCACTCCACGGACTGGATACGTGCGATATTCTCCTCAGGTGAGCCTTCCCGAGAAGCCCTGAGTTCCTCCAGCGCTGTTGACGTCAACGGCAGAGTTATGCCACCAGCAGTTTTCGCATTGGCTAGGTTCCCCTCTGGTCGACCCCCACATGTGTATTTCCACTGTAAGCCTCTCTGAGGATGTGTCTTTCCCTTGGCAAGCCACAACAGGGAGCTCAGACTTACGCAGGGCACTGGAAGACAGCCGAGGTGGCATGATTAGACTGGGAACCCCATTCGTCATCACGACGTAACTCATAGTGAGTAGGGAACGGAGACGTTACTGTGACAATAGCAAGGCTGATGAAAGCAGTAGGTCAGACGGACACAAGCTCAGGTGGACTGTGGCGCAGGGACCTCGGTGGACAACCCGGTGATGGTGCTCGGTGATCCAGTGCGGAAGTGCAGCAGAGCGAATCAAGGACAGAAGTCAACGACGAAGAACACGAAGCAATCCACAAAGGTCCAGACGAACAGCACGAAACAGGAACGGGAACACACACCGGGGAACCACAACGATCTGACAACATGAGACACCAGTTACTGCACATATAAAGGGACAAACAATTGAAGCCAGCTGGCGCTGCTGATCAGCAATGATCAATGACCACGCCCACAGACACACACACGAGAGAGAGAGACAGTGGATTCATGAACCGTGACAGTTACGTCCATCTTGCTCTCTAAACGAAAAACTCAATAACAGTAATTACGAAAAAGTAATTACGAAACGAAAAACTCAATAACAGAGCATCCAGATTGAGACGCATCTGTAAAAGTCTGATTGGAATCGCATTTCAAACCACATCCAAATCAAAAACCTATCTGGATAAAATCTGGATATGAAAAAAATCTGACTTTTGCTGGCAGTCTGAATATAGCGATGTTCCACACATACATTACATTGCTTTGCTTCGAAATTATGGTATTCTTTATAATACCGTTATTGTTGTTGTTGTTTTCCCCTTGTCTGCATATCTTGTGTTGTTTGTTTCTTCTTGCTGTGTTTTGTCTTTGTTGTAAAGAGCTTTGAAAAAGCAACTTTTAAAGGAGCTTTATAAAATAAACTAATTATTATTATAAAACTAGTCCATACGGCTTGTGTGCTACAGTCAAAATCTTCACTGTAAATCTTTACTAAAATGTTCCTCCCGGTTAATCTTCTGCATTATTGGCACATCCAAGAAACGTCTATTTTAACATGTGCGTAGTGCAGTGAGTGCACTCAATACCATATAAGGAGAAGAGGGAAGAGCATTTTGTTGCATTGTGAGAAAATAAATGAGATTTGAAACCTTGAGATCCTCGAGAAACTTTGTGCTATCTTTTTACTTTTAAGGTATTGTTACTCGATGTCCTCTTGAGTTGAAATTACGGAAGTTAAAGAAAGGACCGTGGTCAGGGACCATTTCCTACCGTGATCACAACGAGACCTTTCATGACCCATTACTGGTGGATAACCTTGTCAGAGAAGGTCAGTATGAACAGAAACAGATCATAACCAGCATCAGTTGAATGATGCTCTGATGAATGTCATCTTCAAAAAAGCACAAGCCTATATTCCATCTGTGTTTAACATCATTGAGCAAAATTCAGAATGTTTGCTTCTTCAATTCCAATTCAGAAAGTCAATTGGAATTTAATTAATAGACAAAGATTCTCCATTCAGCTGTGAATGCACCACAACCCTGGTGTCCTGAGGTGGATTTTCAGGCTCAAATTCACCAATACTACTTGAAAATCCCAAACTAGTCTTGTTTGAATCTGCTGCAAACTTATGTATGTATATTTGACAGCTCAAAACAAGCTTGCTGGAAATACAGTTGGAATATGTGATGAACTCATCTCTTTGGAAATTTCATCTACTGATGTGTGTGACCTCACTCTGATCGATCTACCTGGTATAACCCGTGTACCTGTACAAGGTCAACCTAATGATATTGGCGATCAGGTGAGTGAATAGAGTGTTAAAATCTCTAAATGGCTGTTTGAAATCTTGTTAATATATGAACATTTGTGTTAACAGGCATAAAAGCTGTAATCCTGCACCTGCAAAAATATAAATCACATTCAGGTTTGAATGTGGATTTAATCAATACTTTTTTTCAAGCCCTAGGTTGTTATTTGTAGCTGACAGATGAAACTTAAAGTCAACATGAACTCAAGAGAGAGAGAAAAATACTTTATTAATACATTTTCATCATTCATTATACACATTAATGCAGCTCTACATGTTCATTTTTTTTTTTTGGCAATGTTGTATTCTATATTGCATAAGTATAATGGGTTCTATGGTGTTTCATGGTGGCTTAAAGATTCTTACCTTCTTAACCAAAGGACATTTTATCTTTTATTTTTAGATCAAAAACTTGATACTGAAATACATTGACAAAAGTGAAACCATCATTTTAGTTGTTGTGCCCTGCAATGTTGACATAGCGACGACAGAAGCACTGAGAATGGCACAAGATGTAGACCCAGATGGATACAGAACTCTTGGTTTGCCAACTTTTTTTATTTCTACAATATATTTCTTCAGGCCAACCAGTAGCATTAGGATTCATGCTTATCCTAACTTTTATCTATTTTTTGTTGAATTCATGGCATAGCAATTCTCACAAAACCAGACCTTATTGACAGAGGAGCAGAGAGGGATGTTTTGAACATTGTCCATGGTAAAGTCATTCCTCTCAGCAAGGGCTACATTATTGTGCGATGTCGTGGTCAGAGTGACATCAATAACAAAATCCCTCTTTCTAAAGCCATGGAAGTGGAAATTAATTTTTTTAGGAACCACCGATATTTCAGGTAATTCTAACTTTTATATAATAATAACAATATTAATAATAATAATAATAACCTTCTTTTTTTTTCTTGAAAGCTCTCTTTTGAATGATGGTAAAGCATCTACTCGATGCTTGGCAGACAACCTAACCAAAGAACTGGTTGGTCATATCAAGGCAAGCACTTTATGATCATGCTCCTAGCCTTCTTCTTTCTTTTTTCCTTTCTTTTCTCGTTCTTTCTTTTTTCTTTCTTTAAATAATATACAATAATCTTCATCAGAACATAAAAACAGTGGTGATGTTTAGTTTGTCACATGTGGTCATGTTTATTATTAATTTAATAGGAGGGTTAAATACTATTTAAAATTAGCCAGCTAATATATACAATTATATGTTCTTATGGACACAGAAATCGCTACCCTACTTAACTGAGCAGATTCAGACTAAACTACTCAGCGTTCAAAGGGAGCTTAAAAACTACGAGCAGGGTCCACCTGTTGAAGAAGAGCAGATGGGACTTTTTCTCAGTGGTGTAAGAGCTCTGAGAATAAATGACAATATCTATACATCTTATCTATACATATCTATCCAATAAATGAAGGCCTTTTTTTCCTAATTGATTCTTCTTCCTATAGATAATAATGAAGTTCAGCGATCAAATATATGAAATGAGTAGAACAGGACATTTAAGAGACAAAAACATTCATGCACTTCTACGTCCTGTGTTCAAGAAATGGGACAACTACCTAAGAGGCACTGAAATATCATGTAAGTCAAGATGTTAAAAACATGTTACTTTTTAGGATTGTACCAAAATCCCTTAACCAGACCTTCCCTCTTTGTTATTACAAATGTAGTCACAGCAAGAGTGAATGAAATGATATACAAGTATAATGAGATGCATCGTGGCAGAGAATTGCTTACGTTCAGTGACTATTGTGAATTTGAACGTGTCATCAAAGACCATGTGGCAGCCCTTCAAGAGCCAGCTTTGAAAACACTGAACCATGTACGAGGTTAGTCTGTATATTATAAACATACAGTATAGTCAGTTATTATTAGTAATAAACAATTTTTTTCAATGCACTTCAGAGTAACTCTGAATTGCATTGAAAGGTTCAGCACTCATAAAAAATAACCAAAAATAAACAAACATAAAAAAATGTATTTTTGTTTTATAGCCATTAACAATTTACAATTCTTCTTGTCATAAACTAAAATTTTATTTTCAGAGATTGTTCAGGATGTGTTCAGAGAGATATGTTATTTATCTTTTGACCAGTATCCTCCACTGAGAAACATTGTATCTGTAAGTACAACTTATTATTTGTATTATTATTATTATTATTTGTAGTAGTAGTAATATATGCCATGTATTATGTTGTACTTCTCAGAAAATGATTCATGACATTCAGTCAAAACAAGAGGCCAAAGTGGAGAAAAGAATCAAGGAGTTCATTGATATGGAGCAACTGGTCTTCACTCAGGACAAGGTGTTCCAAAAGAAACTTGATGACTCTGACATCCCTCAGAAGACTGAGATGGACTCTAGTGACGAGAGCCTCTATGATGATGATGACACAATTTACAGTTCGAAAGGCTGTGCGTTATTGGATTCAAGAAATCTAGTTCCAGACAAACTGGTTCTCTATTATGAGGTGGGTTGCAACTCATACTATGAAATGTAGTTATTAATTTACACACTGTAAAACTGTGATGAACAGCTAATGTTGTGTATGCACTGTAATATCTAAAGGGGCTTTACAGTTGAAGTGTGTACTTTCAACATCTAGCACTGGAGCACTAGATCTACCAATGACTAGTTTATAGTAAATTGTAGTAAGTTTCAAAATAAAGGTTCCTTCTATCCATTATGTTCCATGAAGGACATATTGGTTACATATTTAACTTTGGTTCCTTGGATAGGTTTACTCAATGCTGCATCAGTAGCTGATACTATTGGAACACACTCTAGTATCTGAAGCCCGATTGTCTAGAATCATGCCAATTCTCTGGCTGGTGGCACAAGCACTGTCCACTGTCCATGCCATCACAGTTCAGATTTCCCTACAAAGGAAAATGAACTGAGATTACATACATAACTATGGGAACCATAGACCACAACACCATACAACAAACAGGGTGCTAATTTATCAGCCTGTGAACACAGACAAAGACACTGACAAAGATTAAATTAAGACACCTTATTCAAACAGCTAAGACTTGCTATAAACATAAACCTCAGCAAAACCTTCAGTGCCCTCACAGGACAAACTGTGCAATCACCAAAAAACTGCCTCACCAAAAAGTAAAGATTGAGATCCAATAAGAAGACCAATCATGCAAGCAGTATGTTTGGTGGCTCGAATAGCTAAGAAAGTCACTCTTCTTAGGGCAACGACTGCCTCGAGGGTCAAACCAGAACCCTCATCTATTTCCTTGAGGACATCTACACCTGAAAAACCACCAGTGTGTGCAGCACCGCACCACCAGCAACCATGTATGAGTTGCCAATCAGGGACCACATGGTCCTACAAGGCTTGGATAGAATAGTAGGTTGTGACTTCCAAGACTACACAGAGGATGGCGAAGGATGAGTCGCGGGAGTATCCTCAATTGGAATCTGGAATCTCTGCGTACTCCTTCTCCACCATCTTATAAATGGAAATAAACTGCATTTATATAGCGCTTTCACAGACCCAATGGCCACCAAAGCGCTTTACATTTTGCCTCACATTCACCCATTCACTCACTCATTCATACACCGACGGCGGTGTCAGCCATGCAAGGCGCCATCCAGCTCGTCGGGAGCAGCTGGGGTTAGGTGTCTTGCTCATGTCTTGCTCACCTCGACACTTGGTCAGGTGGAACTGGGGATTGAACCACCAACCTTCTGGTTTGTAGACAACCTACATGAACCACTGAGCCGCAATTTATAAAGTTACTGGTAAAACCAAAATAGGGTTTTCACAGTGATGTCATATAAAGACCCATTTTTAGTTCCTTGAAGAACTTTCCAGTAAAAAGAATTATAAATGGTGGTAAAATCAGAAATAGATGGATAGGTAATCTGTGCAGTGTCCTGCGAGATGTAAGTGCAACATGGCCAGCCTGAAAGCACTTATTCAACTTGGACTTTGACTGTGGTTGAGGTGGTACAACCCAGTGTAGCTTTAACTTGTCAGCAGCACTTAAAATAACAACAAACAACTCTGTCTAAGCCAGAGATGGATGAGCTTCCTGTCCACTCGGGGGAGGCATGTCATTTGGACCGCCCGCAAGCTCCTCAGAAGTCGAGGACAAAACATCATCCACATCCAAGCTAAACAAAACCTCACTGCGAGCCTCCAGACTTGGATATAAATCCTAGCTGATCTTCCTTCCCTCCTCAAAAAGAAGGAGAGATGAGAACAAAACACTTTCACCCTGAAGTTTTTTTTCAGTGTGGACAATTAAATGAGTCGCTAACCATTCAGTGAGCACGCTGAAAGCTCAAGAACTTAATGGACTTAAGTGTGTGAGGACAATGTGTGTCCTCGCTCGTAATGAAGCAGGTACACAGATCCTTCTGAAATGGTATTGTGCTCACCCTGAGAAAATAAGAATAATCCACTCAATGAACACAATGAATTCTAATATTTAAACCAACTAGCATGGGCAGATACATTTTCTTGAAGAAGAGGAATCTGAGCTATGACGCGGGTGGTTGCTTATGAAGCATCAGTGATGCAATTGCCGTAATTCTTTTTACTGGAAAGTTCTTCAAGGAACTAAAAAATCACTGTGAAAACCCTATTTTGGTTTTACCAGGCACTTCTATTTTTATGATCAGATCAATGATCAGTTAATAACAATTTTAAAATGAGTCAGTATGTGCAACCAAACCACACAATGGAGGTGTATCGGCACTAGAGATTCACCAGAGATATCACTGTAAAGGGAAGCCAACCCCAAAAGGTGGATTAAATATCTTTATTTTTCCATGTCCTGTCTCCATATAGATTATCCATCAACGCCTTACAGACTATGTGCCCATGCTGATAAATCTCTTCATGCTGAAGGATGCAGCTAAGACATTGCGGCTTCAGATGCTAGAATTGAGGAAAGAGGCAGATGTGGTCAAACTGCTGATTGAAGACTCAGACCGAGAACACAGGAGAGCTGATCTAAAGAAGCGACTGGAACGCCTCACACAAGCTCAAGAACTGATAAGCAACACACTCTGAGACATCTTTATCAAACATGAAGGATATGCAGAAATTTTGCATCAGGGCTGCAGAAATTGGCTAGCGGATATACTATAATTACCTTATAATTGCTATAATTTACCTTATTTCAGTTTAGTAATTCTATCAGTTAAATCAGAAACAAACAATATTAGATAAATTGTTTAAATCTTGGCTGAATTGAAATTGTACAGTTAGGCTACTGTAATGAAGTCTAAGGTTGTCAAATTGACTTCCATTATCAAACCAATTATTTTTTACTTCAGGCATTACTCTAGATCAAACAGTAGACCATAAAGATAGCCACACCATGATCATGGGTTCAATTTCAATGGAATGTATTAACTGATATAATATATATCTTGAATGCACTGTATTTGACTTTTGATACAAGTTTCTGCCAAATGCATACATATAAAATTTAACCCACATCTTAAATTATGTTTGGATTTTAACAATTTTCTAATTCAAAAGTTCTTATTGAGAATTAACAGAGGTTTATCTCTTGTTATTGTTGAGGTTTCATTGAAAATGTTAAATCACCATTATTGTAATTAATGGTTCCTTAGTGGTGTAGTTGACCCTTGACTTTTTATTATATTTTTCTCTGCTTGTTGTAACAGTGTTTAAAACACACATGTATTTGTTGCGAAATAACCCAGAATCAAATAAAATCAAATTGTCGTCATCATCATCAAGTGTCCTAATTCACTGATCATTAAGTCTATTCATTCATCTAAAGTGTGTGGTGTCATTAATACATGTCACAGTCACCCTCAGCACTACACTTCCTAGTATCCTTCATGCTCACCACCTACACACACTCCTCAATCACCTGCAAGAAGTCACCCTTGTTATCACTCATCAGCACTCACTATGGCTGTGTCCTAATTCAGGGGCTGCATTCTCCGAAGGCCGTATTTGAAGGCCGATTGCGTCACAGCGGCGCGATGAAGGCTGTCCCAATTCGAAGGATCCTTCGCTGCTGTCAGTTTATTTACAAGCAGTTTCTCTATAAACTAGCCAATGTAAAATCACATACTGGTAATATATTAGTCAACATTTGAACCTTGTATTTATTTTTTTCATTTTGATCATTAGATACATTAGATTAGTCGATTAAATTGAAACCCAAAACTTACATTTAAAAGTGTAATCTGGCAATTTCGCAATGAATTCTGGGGTAGGCAAGGCTAAGAAGGATCCTTCCTAAGATGTATCCTGCATTCACAGGAAAAGAAGGACGTATTTGCAGGCCACATTTTAAAGGAGCCTTCGAAGGACCTTCGCATTGGGACAGCCTTCATCGCCCCGCGGCTATACTTTCCACTTTAAACAAGGCTCGGTGCGGCCACGTCGGCTTCGAACTTCAAAGGATGCAGCCCCTGAATTGGGACACAGCTTATATCAGCATTCAACTTCCTCACCATTGTTGTCTGGTCTGTCTGTTGTCTGGTCTCTGATCCAATTTCTGTGAAGTGGAGCAGCACAGTCCTTGTTTCAGACTCTCATCCACAGACGACACTGTTTTGGACAATGTTTACTAGGTTTCGCTTTACTGCTTGATAAATACAAGCAGCACACTCTACGGTTCATGTGCTCGTCGTCGCCATTATTAGGACCCTAAATAGATAAATATTAAGTTTGGTTTTTAAAACAAAGAAAAGTAGGATGGTTATTATGCACAAACAGCGGGAAACTCTGTAAATTCCTGCAATGTGCGCATGTCAAAAGATTAAATCCGATCAGAAGCTTGTGAGATATAAACGCACACATTAACCCGATCACTTTCTCAGCATTCATGTAAACACTACGTTCGGATTCATCAATCGGAATGAATTCATTCAGATTGAAGCAAAAAGTGTCCATGTAAACGTACCTACTGAAATGGATTTCCAGAAATGCGATTTGAATAGGATTTCAAACCACGTATGAATGTAGCTTAAAAATGTGCATGTAGCTTGAAACGCATTTAATGTGATTTTTTGCCATTCACACTAGCTAAATCTGATCGGTTTTCATTAGGATATTGTCACGGTGGGTTGTGGAGAAATGGAGAAGAGGACTCAAATGCGGAGTGAAATGAAGAATTTAATAAAGATAAAACATAAAATAAACAAACCAACAAAAGAATTCCAACGTTTCAAAACTTAATCCAACACAGACCAGGCAGGACAGGACAGGCACAGGACTCCACACGACTAAACCACGTAACAATAACAACGAACGAGCACAGGACAGCAAACACAGGTAGATTAAATAGGAAGGCAAATAAGGAGGGTAACAGGTGGGACAAATAAACCAATAATCAGATAACAAGGGGGAGGGACCAGACAATGACAAGAGCACATGGCCCAACATAAAAGAATCATGTGCATCACAAAGACAGGACAGACATGTGACACTACCCCCTCCCTATGGGCATCTCTAGATCAGTCTCTGGCTGGGCAGACGGGACGTGTACGGTCTCTGGCTGGGCAGACAGGACGTGAACGGTCTGTGGCTGGGCAGACGGGACGTGAACGGTCTCTGGCTGGGCAGACGGGACGTGAACAGTCTCTGGCTGGGCAGACGGGACGTGAACTGTCTCTGGCTGGGCAGACGGGACGTGAACTGTCTCTGGCTGGGCAGACGGGACGTGAACAGTCTCTGGCTGGACAGACGGGACGTGAACAGTCTCTGGCTGGGCAGACGGGACGTGAACAGTCTCTGGCTGGGCAGACGGGACGTGAACAGTCTCTGGCTGGACAGACGGGACGTGAACAGTCTCTGGCTGGACAGACGGGACGTGAACAGTCTCTGGCTGGGCAGACGGGACGTGAACAGTCTCTGGCTGGACAGACGGGACGTGAACAGTCTCTGGCTGGGCAGACGGGACGTGAACAGTCTCTGGCTGGGCAGACGGGACGTGAACAGTCTCTGGCTGGGCAGACAGGACGTGAACAGTCTCTGGCTGGGCAGACGGGACTGTTGTGTTCACATTATTAACTAAAATCATTTATTTACACACTGTTAGGGGGCTACTATTATGAAGTAAACTAGCTGTGTTGGTTGTTATAGAATCAGCTGCGCGATGTTTATGGTGTGCGCATGCGTGGGTGTGGAGGAAGGAGGAAGTTCAGTAAAAAAACATGTAATACGGTTTCTGTGTGTCTCGGCTCTTTTGTAAACATAATATTGGCGACGAGGATGGCTGAATTTGGTTTACCCCCGCCTGTACACTTTCTTGCCGTCCCCGGAGATCCTCCAGTTCCATGGGCAAACTGGCTGGAGAGTTTCACAGTCTACCTGGACGCTTTAGGCTTTGATGACATTACCGACAAGAGGAAAATGGCGCTCCGCCATTGTCTGGGAGTGGAGGGGCAACGCATTTTTCGCAATCTTGGGACGCCCAATGACTACGATGCTGCAGTTACCCTCTTGACGACCCATTTCACTGGCCACCAAAGGACTTTACTCCGTCGGTATAAACTTCGGAAGCGCCTGCAACGACCCGGTGAGTCTGTTCGAAGCTACGTGACAAACTTGAAAGACATGGCGCGCTTGTGTGATTATGGGGCTTTGCAAGATCAAATACTTCGGGACCAGTTCATTGAGGGGACATCGTGTGAGAAAACAAGAGAAAAGCTGTTACTAGAAGCAGACGATTTGACTTTAAGCAGAGCTGTGGAGATAGCGCTGCAGATCGAGACAGCCATGGAATGCACGTCTCAGCTAGCAGGCGCGCGGCCACTCGCGGACAGAGCTACAGAGCAGTTACAGCCTGCCTATCACACCAGCATGCACTCCTCATATGACAGTCGGGGTTCAGAGCAAGGTTTCCCAGTACAATTCACGCAGAGACAGAACAATAGGCGAACTGCAGAGGTATGTGGTAACTGTGGTTCTAAATCACACAATTCTAAGGCACAGCATTGTCCTGCCAAAGGACAACAATGTAGAAACTGTCTGAAGCACAACCATTTTGCCAAGATGTGCCGTTCAGCCCCGGCCACGCTCCCACAACACACTGGACCTCCACCAGCTCAGCACAACTATACAGAGATCCGAAATGTGACTGCCGGTCAGGTGGCGTTCAAAACATGTACCGTCCAGTTAGCCGACGTAACCCTACCCTTATTAATGGACACTGGTGCGGCTGCATCGCTCCTAAATTCAAGCACTTACTTTAAGTTTTTCTCTTACCTGCCATTAGATCATCCTGCCGCCGCTCTATGTGGCTATGACAGCTCCAGGATTGACATCCTAGGTGTGCTCCACCTGCCGGTCCACTATGGCTCCAAGCACCTACCATCTTTTCCCTTTCACATTGCGAGGAGGGGAGCCAACCTTCTAGGCCTGGACCTGTTCACAGGCCTGGGGTTCACGCTCCGGGATGATGCTGGCTCCGACATTCACCACATCACCTCCTCTTGGCAGCAAAGGTGGCCGGCTCTGTTCGATGGCCTAGGCTGTCTTTCAGCCTTCACACACAGGCCTCTGGTGAACCCGGACGTGTCACCTGTCATCCAGCCCCTGCGCAGGATCCCCTTTGCCTTGAGAGACGAGGTCACCCGCGAACTTGGGACACTCCTGGACATGGGAATTATTGAACCAGTCAACGCTGCTCCCTGGATTTCAAACCTAGTCATTGCAAAGAAAAAATCTGGGGGAATAAGAATATGCGTGGACCTACGCTTGGTGAATAAGGCAGTTATTCCAGACAGATATTCTTTGCCCACCTCAGAGGAGCTCACCGCACACTTTCACGGCTCAACAGTCTTCACAAAGCTTGACTTGCGTCAGGGCTACCTGCAGGTACCACTCCACCCAGCCAGCAGGGACCTCACTGCTTTCGTGACGCATGCTGGGGTGTTCCGGTACACTCGAATGGCCTTTGGATTAAGCTCCGCCCATAGCTGCTTTCAGAAGGTGATGAGCACAATACTGGCCGGCATCCCTGGGGTAGCGGTCTTTCTGGATGACATTGTTATTCATGCCCAAGACATCGAGACACACAACAAGCACCTCCAGAGGGTGGCTCAAGCCCTTCTTCAGAACAACCTGACTCTGAACCCAGAAAAATGCTGCTTCACTGCCCCAGCCATCGACTTTGTTGGGTTCCGCTTGTCAGCCAAAGGGATTTCCCCTCTACAGTCCAATGTCGATGCCATACACAGGATTCCAGAGCCGACCTCAGCCTCTCAAGTGG